AGGAACAGTCCCACAAGGAGATTCCCACTCACAAAGGCAGGCAAAGACGTTGTCACGACAAGCTGAAGATCAGCTGTTTGCTCCCACACGCTTCTGCAGCAGCTTGATGGGCCTCGGGGGAGGTCTGTGGCGTGGACCCACCTGGGGTTGAGGCCACAGGTCCCACCTGCCCTGCAGAGTGCCCAGGTGAAGCCCCCCCCCGGAATACAGGGACCTCCAGGACAGTTTGCTCGTGCAAACACACTCCTCTGGTAGCTTTTTTTAACCTTTACCCTGTGGTTTGTTTGCACTCTGCTCAAATCAAGCCCAAAGAAGGGCAGATGTCAGCCTGAAATAACCACATACCTCTGCACCCTCCTCGGCGGCTTGTTCTGAGCACCACATGGCCTTGGGACCGAGGTTTATCTGAAGTTTGGAAACCATTCCCAAAGCCCACCAGCATCTCAGGGTACAGCACCACGTGCTGGAGCCTGGAGACCCCAGGGAGGGGATGGGGGGTGAAGAGATGCTCCTGGTCGCAGCTGCCCAAGCTCCACCTCTGCTCCTGGCACCCCAGGATTGCTGGAGCACAGCCATCCTCCACCACCCACCCAGCCACAGGCTTGGAGAGGCAAACCAGCCAGGACTGCTGGCAGGGACCTCCGGAGATGAGATCTCCAGCCTTCCTGCCACTCTTCAATCTTTCCCAGACCTGCCTCTTGCTCCTGCCAAGCTCAGAGCCAGTTCTCTTCCCATGCATACACCCCCCCAGGCTCAGCATCTCTCTCTAAGGTCCCTTAGAGAGACACATCCTTTGCTGTTCCCTAGGTTGCCCTGCCCAATTTATCATCTTTTTTTTTTCTTTTCCCAAAACTAGTTCTCCTTTCTAAAAGCACATGGGAAGGAGGTTTCAGACTTTCCATTGAAACTGGCTTTTTCCTCCACCCGTTCTTCCCCAAAACTGTAATTCAAACAACTTTAATTGTACATTATTTTCTTTCTGAATTGCCCCTATGGATAATTTATCTTCTTTTAGTGTAGCTGTAGGGAGTACAATCTTATCTTTCAGCTCCAGCAAGGCTGACAATTTCCTATCTTCTGATGCCTTCTGCTCTTTACTATGTTGGGGCTTTGTTATAGAGTTGATTAAAGCAAAATTGCTTTTTGCTGCAATTTTACTGCAATCTAACCCAGAAATGCCCAAAGAATCACAGTCATCTTTCACAATGCTCATCTGTTCGCTGCTATAAAAGCCCTCCCTGCTCAGGCTGGAGCAGCTCAGATTCTGCACCAGCAGTAATGTTTGCCATCAATTAAACATCCCCTATTGACAGTCCTCCGAGCTTTTGGAGGGGAGATACAGGAGATACTCAGCCGAGCCCCTGGTCACTCACTGTTATCCCCATTGTTCATTTTCTCCTACTGATAAAAAAATATTCTCCTCATAAATTGCTTTTCTTTTAGCTTGCGCCTCCAGAAGCTGTTCCCAAGCCCCTCCACCGCAGCTTCCTCAGTAGCTCGTTTTTCAAAAGAGTCTGAAGGCCAAATGTTATCCCCAACATGCACACAGAGCCTAAAATCTCCACGAAAAATGCACAGCTCTCCCAATTTACCTCATTTCCAGGCCTTGGCAGGGCACAGAATCATGGAATATCCCAAGCTGGATCATTGGAGTCCAACTCCTGGCCCTGCACAGGACACCTCAACACATGGCACCAACCAGCACAGCCCCAGCCCTGAATCCACTTCTCAGGGGTTATAACAATATTTTTTGGCTAGTCTAGATGACTCTAGGATTTTGCTATCCCCATCCAGCTGGGAGAAAGTTTCTGGGTCTGGTGCGTCATACCTCAGTTTTGGGAAGGTTTTCATGCTCCATCCCTCTTCTTCCAGCTCCCAAAGAGCCAAATGCATCAGGAAAATGGCCCTTTTCATTGCACTGCCAATGCCTCGGGGTCTCACAGGAGGCCAGGAACACCCTACCTGTCAGCAGGGGACATGAAAAACCCCATTTCAGCCACCAGCACATCCCTCCTCATTGCTCAGACAGGAGACAGGGCCACCTACACGAGAGAACTTAATCCCACTCCAATAAAACCAGTCTGGAAGCCCAAGGTAGAACAGACTTATCCACATTCCAGCTCAAACCAGGAGATCTACTGGCTCTGAGCTTATATGGAGCAATGGGCAGAGGGTGTGGGTGGCTGGGGGTCCCACATGAAGCTGCTCAAGGCCATTGAAGTCTATTTGTGCCCCCCTGGCTGAACCCATTCTTTCTCAAGACTGTATTTATTTTGGGTGTCATACTCTCGAGGGAGAAGGGAGCCTCAGGTTTCACCAAATCACTTTTATTAAACCATTGCATCACTGGCTAAAATAAATGTGCCCCAGGGCAGTACAGAATTCTGATCAGACAGAGCCGTTAAGGTTAGAGAAACCCATGTCTAATCTAACCTGCATCAGGCAAGACTAGGAAAATTGTATCCAATTCTACCATTTGCCACACTGTAAAGGCTGGATAATACCTTTAATTTTGATTTAGCTGGTAAAGGATGACCCGCAGGGGATGTGGAAAACAAGCACCACATAGAATAGATGCGATAACCAGCGGCACCACCCCGAGCAGCCTGTGCTGCCGGGGCTGCTGTTTGCCAGCTCAGTAACGACCTCCCGGCTGGGCCGTTCCCTCTGTTCACCCCCACGCTGATCGCAGGCTCATTGTCTCCATTTCATTGGAATCCCCGCCGTTTAGGCAGATGGGTATCGGCGTTTCTGCCTGGCTGGGCTGTGCCCGGCGGGGCCGGGGCGGGAGCCGGCGGTCGATGCAGAGCCATGATAGCACAGCTGCCATCGACGGCCGGGCACGGAGCTGCTCCAGCCCCACCCGGGAACGAGTGCCCCCGAGGGCACCTGAACGGGGGTGTTCCCCCACGGGCCCAGGAGGGATTCACAGAATTGTGGAATCACGGAATATTCTGAGTTGGAAGGGACCCATCAGCATCATCCAGTCCAACTCCTGCCCTGCCAGACACCCCAACAATCCCACCCTGTCCCTAAGAGTGTTGTCCAAACCCTCCTTGAGCTCTGGCAGCCTTGGTGCTGTGCCCACGGCCCTGGGGAGCCTGTTCAGTGCCCAACCAGCCTCTGGGGGAAGAACCTTTTCCAGATATCCAACCTCAACCTGCCCTGACACAACTTCAGGCCATTCCCTTTACCTCCCTCGGGTCCTGTCACTGGTCCCCACAGAGATCAGTGCTGCCCCTCCACTGCCCCTTCTGAGGATGTCGAAGGCCCCACTGAGGTCTCCCCTCAGTCTCCTCCAGGCTGAACAAACCAAGTGACCTCTGCTGCAGAGGGCCAGGGTGGCACAGCCAAATATATCCCTGGGGAAAAAAAGAGGGACCACATGGCTCGCTGAGATGTCCCTTGATGTACAAAACAGCACTTTGGGGATGGCACAAGCTCTTCTACCTCTCGAGCAACCAGTGCCTGCAGGCTGAGGGACAAGTCCTGGGGGCACTGAGGGCCCTGAGCAGCCCTGCCTGGGATGGGACTCCCAGCCACACTTGCCCATGAGCTTGGGAGCCCATTTAAGCTCAGCCCAGGGCTAGTCCCAGTTTGAGTTGTGCCTCTGGGGTGCTGGTCTCTAGTTTAGTCCCAGCTATACCTGCAGCTATAGGCCCTATTGATGTGAATCCTGATCTAGACTGATTTCCCAGCTTGAGCTCAGGTCTGTTTTGTCCCCTTGGACCTTCCTAGGGATCACCTGGCTGTGGCTGCCCGCACCAGCATTGATCCTGAGCTGTGGATTGATTCCTCCAGCCTGCCCTACTGCTGTGAACGTGCAGGATGACAGGGACTCTTGGCTGACCCTGGCTGCCTCCTGCTCTCCTTACTCAGGTACCCTGGCACTGGTCCTTCCCTGCCAGCCATGGTGTTCCCTTTACTTCCCTATCCCGTTGGGAGCAGTGCCCTGGCACAACACCCCCGATTGCCGTGTCCAAAGCCAAGCTGAGTCCCCAGGCGAATAAAATGTGATGGGAATAGTCTGGCCTGTGGGGAGTAGCCCCAGGACACAGGGATGTCCCTGCATGGCAGCAAAAGAGCCCAAATCCCTGCTACTGTGGCTCATGGAGGGTGAAGCTGAAGCCCAGCTGCAGGCACTGCCCAGCCTGGCTGGAGCGAGCCCTGTGCTAATCCATGGGTGCCACCTGCCGTCTAGTCCTGACGGATCATCCACAGCCTCACCTCTGCATCCCGAAAATTGCTCCAGATGTTCAGGTTTTCCCCTGTGCCTCCTAGGAAGCCCCCTGCCAGGACTCACAGCATGCAAGAGCAAGCTGAAGCTTGCAGGACAGCTGTCCCCACACATCCTGCCTGTGGCTGGATGGAGCTGCTCTCAAAAAAAGCAGCAGGATAATATCCTTTTCCTCAGGATCACGAGGTCAGGGAATGGCTCTTGTGTGTCTGTAACTGGAAACTAAGTTGTTGGACCCAGTTCCCTAAAAAATTGGGTGGAGAAAAACATTATGGCGTGGCAGAGATGGATGAAAAACCTGCAATTGAGAGAAATAATTTTGGGTTGGGTCAGGGGGAGGGGAGGATAAAAAAAAAGCAGTTTGATTTCTTTTTGTCCCTCTATCTCCTTTCCTGCAGAAAATAAGGTTAGACAAACTTCAGATTTCTGTCATAACAAAGCTGATGTCAAACATGATGATATTTCTCACTGGACTCCTTGTTTACATTACAAATCATCCTGACCAAAGTTACCCTTTCTGTCACAATGTTTGTTTTGCATGAAAAGACATTTCTGCTCAGAAACAACAAAATAAAAAAAAATCAAGTTAAAACATTTTGACCAGTTCTGACAGGAATATTTGAACATGTAGGAGGAGGATGGGAGACGGCTCGGAATAACCAAGCTGCCATTACCCATGGGGTCGAGATGTGTCAAGTCAGCTTTCTGCTAAATAACAAAGCACATCTAGACTTTTTTTTTTTTTAATTATTATTACCCTGAGATCTTTCTTTTCTTTTTTTTTTTTTAAATCCCATTTTTCTCTGGTTTCAGCAGCTTTTCCTTTGACTCTTATCCCTCGGAGCATGTCGCTCTGTGATTTGACAAGCTTTTCCTTCGCCTCTCATTCCTCAGAGTGCTAATTTTGCGGTTTAATCTTTTTTCTGGCTCTTCAGGATGAAAACTGGAAGGGTCACCTGTGCAGCACTTGCCTGTATGAGCCAGAGAGCCTTTCTGGTGACTCACTGTGGCGGTGTCACCATTGTTTGGTGGCTCCATTCTGTTATCTGATTAGGTTCATGTAGTTCCCCACCTGCCATTGTGCCTTTGGGGAGATTAATACACATTAATCACATGCATAAGGTCGGAGTTACCTTCTGGGATCGGTGCTTTCCCTGGCATGTCGCCCTCAAAGCATTAACTGATGTTATCCAGCGTCTCTCAGCTGCAAAAGGTGAGGTTTGCTGTTGGACGTCAGCGAGTGTTTGATGCTCTACCCTACACTTTCAACTGGTAACAGATTCCAAACAGGGTCACTGCAAGTCAGGCAAAGCTAAGAAATCTTTCCCTGTGAGGGTGGGGAGGCCCTGGCACAGGTTGGCCAGAGAAGCTGTGGCTGCCTCATCCGTGGAAGTGTCCAAGGCCAGGTTGGACGGGCCTTGGAGCAACCTGGGCTAGTGGAAGGTGTCCCTGCCCATGGCAGGGGGTGGAACTGAGTGATCTTTAAGGTCCCTTCCAACCCAAACCATTCTATGAAAACTTCCTTCAAGTCCCAAAGCATATCAGTAAATACATGGAGATAACAGGGATCTCTTAAACAATTCCAGTTGCAAGAAGACAAGCTCAAAAGATTCCCCACACACACAAAAAAAGGATGATACCTCTTTGCTACTCTCTGAGAACCGAAACTCTCTCCTGAATTTCCTGCTGATTATGGTGGTTTTTTTCTTCCCCTTTTCTTGTTTTGTTTCTGAGATTTTCTGTCCTTGTGCTGAAGCCCTAAGGAATAAGCAGAGAATAATCAAAACTGAGATACCCCAGGTGAAAAGATGGGTCTTGACTGAAGCGAAAATGCACAGATTTGGAAACTTTGCCATGGCTGAGTTTCCCCTGCCACTCATGAAATTAGGAATCACCATTAGGAAATTAGGAACCACACAAGCCAAACACATCACCCTTCAGCCTGCAAAGACTCAATCTGGTGGAATAACAGGCCTTTCCTTACTACCAAGCCACTATGTTGAATCTATTGCTGGTGAATCCCCTTTTTTTCCTCCAGAAATCCCCTATAAATACAAGTTGTTGCAAGAGGATTCACTCATGCGTGGCAGAACAACAGGTTTTTACCCTATATTATGGCTGGATACCTGAGTATGGCAGGAATAGATCTTCTTTATATATATATATATTAGAGATCTGTGGGAACTTCATGTACGCCAACAGACTCTTGAAGGCAACAGCAAGCTCCGGATCAGATCCATCAGCACATCTCCTGGCCATCGTCACCTTTTTGGGTTTCCTGTGTTGTATGTTCACAGCACGTGTGTTGATCACAAACCCACAGGTCAGCTCAGGGTGTGCAGCACCCTCGTTAACCAGGCTGGGGAACCAGCTCCGATGGGAGCCTGGCAGGGAGGCTCCAGGGGACAGCAGGGCACCGTGTCCTGGCGTTGTCCCCGAAGGAACGCGAACCTGAGGGCTCAGTTATGCAACTGTGGGGAGAAGCTCCAGCTTCTCAGCGTGCTGAGCTGGTGACAGAGGGGAGAATAATCCTCCTGCTAAGTTGGGCCCAGGCCTGTGGCAGCGTGAGTCACCCTGAGCTGCCATGGTTACGGAACGAGTATTACTGTGCAGATCCAAACCCTGCTCACAGAAAAGCACAGCGCTAACTAGTTCCAAACTTGGAAAACAGTCGAGTGTAGGTAAGGCCTAATACCGAGTGGGTGTTTGCAAGGAGGAGAGTTAGAGAAAAATCCTCCAGAGCTAATATTCAGCTGGAAAAACAGCATGCATAGAGCAGGAAGAAGGACACCGCTGTGCAAAGCCACGATTTCTGGATCCTTTTCCCCATTTTGTCTGGTTTGCAAGGGCTACCGTCAGAATTGCTCCACAGAGGGGGATAAAAGAGGATGTTTCCACACCACAAGAAAACACACAGTAGTGTCACACAGATGAATCAGCTGGCATGAATAGTGAGTCATGGAAATGCACCATGGAAATTCTCCAGCGCAGTGGAATCTCTAATGCACATCAAATCCGGCATCCTTGGAGAGGCAGGGGCAGCCAGGATGACGTATGGCACCAGCACATGCCCAAAAACGCTCCTCACGAGTGACCTCAGCCCTGGGAAGCTGCAGTCACTAAGCCTACAATCCTCACCCAAGTCCTGAAGCGCTCGGGCAGTCAGTTCAGCAGGGTTTTCATGGAAAAGGTGTGTGTGATCCTTGTTTTCAGTGAGTCACAGCTGCAATAAAAGGACTTGGAGTCTGTTTGCTAACCATCAGCTGAGAATGACCTGGGCAAGGTAAAGGATCAGGGATACAAAGCCAGGAAATCAGGGCAGTTTTGGATGTTACCACAATGCTGCACCCACCTCCCATTCCACCCCTAGTTGTGGGCACACCTGGGCCCAAAGAGATCTCTGAGGAAACTGAGGACTCTGCAGAAAGATAAAAATCTGGTTTTGAGGGATTTTCTGCTTTTCTTTTGTTGTTTTTTTTTTTCCCAGTATCCTCTGCTGGTCTGTCCCATTATCTCCTGCAAGTCTTGTATCTTCCCACCACCAGCACAGAACACAGCAACCACAGTGCAAGGAGTGACCTGTACCTGTGATTTATGAAAGTAAGAGAAATCCCCCCCAAAGCTCATCTACAGCCAATTTTCAGGACACCTGGCTGGTCCAGTGATCCAGGCGTGAGTCTTTGTGCTTTTAGCCCCCAATTCCACCACTAGCATGGGGCAAACACCTTTGCTTCACGCAGCCTTGTTTTCCTACTTGTGCAAAACAGACGTGGCCCTTGAAAAAACACTTCATTTTATATGAAAGAGTAGCCGTGACGGATAGCGTTTAAAATAATTCTAGTCTTTTCTGGGTGTATGGCCCTGAAGCTGAACAATTTGGGATGGACTTCGGGTTCCCCTGACAGGCTGCAGTCCCTGCAGAACGGCACATGAACTTCTCAATTTTAAGGTACGAGCAGAGCTCCTGCCCTGTGTTTGCAAGCATTGTAAGCCCACGAAGAACAGAAGCGAGGAGTGTGGTGCTCCCTCACACCGCCGCTGGAGGGGCGCCCCAGAGGGGATGGATCTCTCAGGCGACGGATCCCTCAGGCGGGCTCCGCCATCCCGCCCTTCGCGCCCCTGAGGGGACGGATCCCTCAGGCGGGCTCCGCCATGGCGTCCCTGAGGGGACGGCAGCCCCAGGCGGGGCAGGGTTAGCTCTCCGCCGCCCTGGCGTCTCTCTCCCGCCGCCGGCCCAGGAGCTCGGCGAGCAGGAGCCAGGGGCGGGAAGCCGCGGTGGGGCTGAGGCGGAGGGGCCGAACCGCGGCATCATGGCGGCGGGGCCGGGCGGGGTCGGCGGTGACACCGCCCCCCTCCCTCCCGCTCCCCTCACACCCGGCGCCGCCCCCGCCCCCGGCAGCTCTCGCGAGAGCGGGCGCTGCGCTGCGGTAGGAGGTCGGCGGAGAAGGACGGACGGAGCCGCCGCCGCTCCCGCCGCCGCCTCACCCTCCTCTCCTTCCTCCTCCTTTTCCTCCTCCTCCTCCTCCTCCTGCCCCCATCTCAGGAGGATGCCGCGCTCCGGGCCGCTGCCCGCCGCCTTCTCGCTGCTGCTGGCGACGGCCGCGCTGCTGCCGGGACCCGCCGCGGCGCAGAACGGTGAGGGAGGGCGGCGGCGGGGGGGAGGGAGGAAGGGAGGGGGGGCGCGCGTTGCTATGGCGGCGGGGGGGCTGTGGGCAACCCCCGGGGTGGGGGGGCGACCCAGGGGTTTGGGGGGATCCCTGTGTCCCGGGGTCCCTCAGGGGAAGGGGGAGAAGGGGGGGGAAGGAGGAGAAGGGGGAGCTGGCTCGTCCCCCCCCCGCCCCGGCTCCTCCTGAGGCGCCTCGTGCCGCCGGTAAAATGGAACATCTCCTCATCTCCTCCCGCCTACTGAACCTGCATCTGCCGGGACGCCTTAAATCATTTATAATGCAATAAACCCCGTAGTTCCTTAGCAACTGGAGAGGTCCTTCTGATAGGAGCGTAAAAGAAGGAATTAAAAAAAAAAAAAAAAAAGCCCACCACACCCCAAGCCTCCTCTGTTCCTTGTAGGATAGCGTGAGCTAAATCCAGCGCGGTGCCTCCTCCCGGTGAGTTCGCAGCCAAGTGCATGACAATTAGTGGCAGAGCGGAGCGGGGCCAAGAGGCTGGTCCAGCCGAGCCTCCTGCTCCAAGGAACATCCTGCAGCGCTGATAAAAATGCCTGTCTGATCCTGCCAGGCCAGGCGGGAGCCGAGGCAGGGTCTGTCTGCTCCGGGGCTGCTCCAGCACCGGCCCTCTGGTGCGGCTTCTCTTGCAGCATCATGGTCAGGGATGCTTTGGCCTGTAAGTGCGGGGAAGGGCAGGGATCTTGGCTCAAGGGAGACTGATCTATGTCCATGGGGAAAATTTGCCTAGAAGGAAGGATTGCCTTGCTAACACGCCAATTCCCCACTAGTTTTCATTGTTTCATCCTTCTTTCTCTCTCCTTCCTTTCTGCTCTGCAGATAATATTCAGTACTAGTGTTCTGCTTTTGTTGAGGTGGATTTTGCCTTGCAGCATGAGGTTAGCTTCCTCTGCTCCTTGCTCTAGAGGAATCATAGAGTCATGGAATCATGGAATCACAGACTGGTTTGGCTTGGAAGGGACATTAAAGCTCATCTCGTTCCACCCTCTGCCATGGGCAGGGACACCTTCCACTAGACCAAGCGGTCCCAGATAAAATTTGTGCCTTAGTAGGTGCAGGTTTTGCAGTCTGAAACCAGAACTGAGCTTGTCTGCCTCTGTTAATTAAGCGGAAGCAGCTTTGGCATCCACACTGTCTGAATGAAAACTGGAGGCTTTCTCTAGAATGAAGCACTTTTTTTTGTGGAGCCTACAGGAGCGTGGGAAAACCCTGCTGGAGGTCAGTGGCAATTAGGGACCTGGCTTCTGTGAGCTCCCAGGGAGGTGCTCATTGGGATGAGTTGTGGATGAAGTGTGGGTCTCTGTTGTAGACATGCTTCCTGTGCCACCTGAGCATTCTCATCGCAGGGTTGATCTGCCTTTGGTGTGTTTCCACACAAATTCCACCCTTGAATTTGGGTTTTCTGACAAGCAAGTTAAAATGGGTCATGTTCCTGAGGCTGTTCCTTGTGCAGAGTTAGCAGGCAAGGTGTTAAATGCCAGCAACTGGGATAGCAATTCCAAATGGCTGGTAAGCAGTGCAAACATTTGGTGTTTGACAGGACTTAGATGTCTGGAGGTCAATGATCAAATTTTGGGCGTAGATGGAAAGTGTCTTTATTGTGACTTCCATGCCTGGCATGAAGCTGACCAAGAGCAGGACATCTTGGCATGAGGGAAGATTGCAGATCACAGGTGTATCCTGGAAGCTCCTTAATTTTTGTTTGGTTAACGAGGGTCATCCAGACAATTAAATGGTGAGGGAGCCTCTGAGTATCTGTAATTCTGTGGGAGCTTACACAGGTGAGTGAAAGTCTGCTTGGGAAGGAGTAGAGCACTTCAAAGCAAGTGAAAGGTGGAGATCCTTCTGACTGAGGTTATGGCTCCTGTTGAATCTTTACCTCAGTTTTAATTTAAAGATTTTAGGCCCTGCTGCAGAGGAACTGGTTTCTTTTTCAGCAAATAATAGCCCATGAGACACATCATGAAACAGAACAATTCCTCTTTGGCCTGAAGGATAGGTACAACCATTTCCTGACTTGTGTCTATTCCTTGTAAGTCACTAGAAAAACGATGCTGTGGTTTGAACAGGCTTGTGCAAGTCTGTCGGTGACATCTTTAAAAGCAAAACTTCTCCCACACGCGGTGCTTTGAAGGTGCAGGGAAGGATCCCAAAGTGCATATGCAGAGTTTTGTTATCTATTATTGATGTGGAGTTGTCAGTGTAAGGAAAGGTGATAGTCCAAGTGCTGTTGAACCCTGTGAGTTCAGGATGATAAAGGAATGGGCATGGACCTGTTGGAACTGCAGGGCAGGTCACCACTCACCTGGTGCAGTAAATGCCCAGTGGAATCCTGAGGGTTTGTGGGAAGCAGCTTTTTTCCCTACCTCTAGCAGGAGATTGCTGTTGAATTACCAGTGATTTTTCCAGAGTTAATGTAAATTCAGAATATATTGAGTCAGCCTCACCTATGGATTTAAGCTTATTAAAC